TCATCGTTTAACTGGTATAGCTCGTTCAATCGTCTGCGGTATTTGCTCTTGCCAATGCCCAAAGGGCCATAAATTGTTTGCAAAACTATTCGTTCATGCTTCTGCGCCATTTTATAAGGCCGGTATTATGAGCGACTTGTACAGTTTGGTTTTTTGTTCGTCAAGAAAAGATTTTACCTTTCCATTGCCTACTCAGCGTATCAAAAGTTGTCAAGAGTGATTTTGGATTTCAGAGCTGATGATATTATTGGTGTTAATGCTGGTCCCTAGATAAACGAAATTATCAAAGACCTCGAAGTTATGACTGTCAATTGCCATGTCGCGAATTTTATGAGATATCTCCAACCATTCGCATCGCTTCTTTATCAATACAATTAACGTCGCGGTTGTTAAGGCCTACGACGTCAAAATCATCTGCATACACAGTAGTTGTACACTGTTGTAAAATGTTATTCCTTGTCTAGTTATTTTCTCCAGCATCAAGTAGAAGAAATCACACGAAATAGAGTTATACTGTCTGAAACCTCGGTTGGTACTAACGAATTCGGGCTATTTCTTTTTTCCTGCATATGTCCCGTACGTGTTGGGTTCGACCACAAGGTTTCGAGGTAGCAGTCTGTTTTCTATCCACTGCAGTCCAACATTCCTCATCGCACCAGATGTTTTTTTGACACTGCCGGAGCAGAAAGATTCTTTTGTATATGGTTCGATCAGCTCACGGCTTCCGGTCTCAGTTAACGTGAAAAGACGATTCATATGCGATTGTGCGTGGATGAAAAATGAAAAATTTATTAATTCCCTAAGAACACTTTCCCAATAGAGTTCTTAAGCTCGCATATAATAAAAATTGACACTCTCTTTTTATAAGTGTTCCGAAGTGTACCGAAGTAAATATGTTAATTTTTTTATTTATCCTTCCAAAGAAAATAGTGCATCCCTCTCTAACTCTTACGATCGCGCTGACACTCTAGGTGTTTTGCATGGTTGATTCTCTAAAAAATACCTCTGAGGCACTTATTGCATTATTCACATTTGTGAAGACCCTAAAAGCTTTGACAAAATTCAAATATCTTTTAATCCTCGAAAATAAACGGCTAATTACTTACAGAATTCTTGAAAGCTCTCAGAAAACATAAAATAAATCATACTTCACGCGTGAAATTTGATCAAGTCAATGTTGTGTTTTGTATGTGCATACATGACAAGTAAAGACGAGATCGAGAACTGCTACATTTGAGGATACTGAGCGCAAACAACCAGAAGCCGGTTATACCCCTTGACCCTAGTACGCAAATTAACTCAAAATTTGACAGGAAACGGACAGAAAATAGAGCTTATTGTATATACACTAGCCGTCATAAATCTACGCTCCTTAATTATTTCTTTTAAATATATTAATAAAATGAGGTCAAATATTTTTTACAAAGTTCTTTTTTATTTTAAACTGCGTAAAATTCTTCTATGTACTATTTATAGTTAAAAAAAATTAATTAAGTTTTTGGCATAAAGAGTTATAGGCGCCAAAACTCTACGCTCATAATTGAATGATTATGTCATGTTATGTCATGTTTCCTTATAACTCGCTCCAATGACGCACATAGATACTCTATTGGAATCAACTCAGGTGATAGTGGTGGTGTTAGGAGCTGTTTAGAGATGATATAAAGAAGCCAGAGACGAACAATTTCGGCGGTATGTTTGGGGTCATTGTCTCGTTAGAAGTAGAACTCATTATCTAATCCAGATTTTTCAACGCTCTGTCGCAAATTATGTTTTAATATGTTTAAATATGCGAACCGGACCATAGTTGCTTCAATAAATTTGAAAGTTTCAACGCCGCCCTACATTATTATTCCTCCACCATCATGCTTCACAGTGAGGAAGTGATTTTCTTTGTTGAGCGCTGTACCTGTTTTACTTCAAACAATTTTCCGTCCCTTGATGCCGAAGATGCAAAATTTGCTTTTATCAGCAAATGAAATTCGTTTCCTAATTTCATCATAATACCATATAAGAAAAATTAGAATTATTTTACTAATGGTTTTTAAGTTTTCAACAAACAAAAATTAATTAAATTTCTATAACTTTTGGATGTTGATCGCACCGGGATTTGAACCCGAGCCTTCTGAATAGCAATACGCAATTCTAAGCTCTCAAAAATAAATTGTCTGACGTAAATGTTTTTCAAGCTGAAAGGAATTGATGCGTAGGACTATTTGGAAATAACCATTTGTTATTCCATTTGTTACTTTTCTTCCAGCCGTGGGAAAATATCACGCTTTGCTTCACGTTTTTTACACTCACTCTCATTGTATTTACTATCGACTTGCGATATATTTATAATAACAAAAAAATTGGCTTTTGAGTCTTTGGCACACGTTTTATCCGTAGATAAGGAAGTATGATAGATAGGAAAAAAGTAATCATGAGCAACGCGTCGCTATAAAATTTTGCACAAATTGGAAACGTACGCTAAAATTGTAAAAGTGCATTTTGATAGTGCTCTTAGTCGTGTCCAAAGCTGACAACGGTACGCCCCCCGCCTGAAAAAGCCCGCATGAGTATTGACTTTTTTTATAGCCGTGGAATCGACCAAAAAGAATTTTTTCCACCGGGCCGAACCGTAAATAGAATCTACTATCGCCAAGTACTTGAAAGATTGAGAAAACGAATCAACCGGGCGCGTTCAGACATCGCTCATAACTGAATCCTTCATCAAGACGACGCGCCGTGCCACATCACGTGTCCCAGTATTTGGGATCTAAAGGGATCGCCGTGTAGCTACAACCGCCTTATTCATCCCATACTGCCCATTTTGAGTCGGTTGAGGACATCCAGGAAGCCATAACGGGAGTGCTCGTGGACATCTAAACGTTAAAGAAATGTTACGAAGGAAAACGAATCAACAGGGTGCGTTCAGTCATCGCTCGTAACTAGATCCTTCATCACGACAACGCGCCGAGCCACACCGCTTGTCCCAGTATTTGGCATCTAAAGGGATCGCTGTGTAGCAACAACCGCCTTATTCATCCGATATTGTCCATTTTAAGTCGGTTGAGGACATCCCGGCAGCCGTGACGGAGGTGCTCGCGAACATCGAAACGTTAAAGAAATGTTACGAATCATGGAAAGCGCGCAGGAATCGTGGTATATCAGCCAAAGGAGACTACTTTGAAGGGGATGGCAGAGTTGTAGAATATTTTTTTTAAAAATACGGGTTTTATGGAATCAGTCTCATTACTTAATTTTCACACCTCGTATTTCCATCATGAGTCTCAGAAATCATCAGGAAGCCTATGTCAACCACTATGCCGTACCATTCTACGAATGTGCAAATTGTGAGAGTAAATTTTTGTTCAATTACTATTGTAGCAACAAAGTTCATTATATTTGTACATAGATATGTTATCCTTATCTCAAGTATACAAGCAAATGCTAAGTACACAGGAGCGCGGTACGATTATTTTATTTGGAGGCCCTCTACAGAGTGAAGAGTCATGGAGCATAGTTTTGGAAGTGGAAACCATAATACAATAGATTTTTGATTTGATAAATTTTGTAATAATAAAAATAATTTATACAACGGAATTATTTGTTTTTGTCATTTTTCTTTGTGCTTTTCGTATATTTTGACGTTTTGTTGCCACCATATAATCGTTAGTGCAAGGAACGAAATTTGCAATTTTGCGATCCAACAAATCGTGTCGATTAAAGTTAGAGAACTGCACCATAGATTTATTTACACAGGTCAATAAAACAAAGGTTTCGAGTTTTAAAATATCCTGTCGACATCTTTATTTGTTCAGTAGATCCCAGTAGCACCTGGCTACACTGACAGTGTTGTTAACTAAATTATAATCCTGTAAGTGGTGTCTACGCCAGTAAAGAAGAAAAAGAAGTCTAAATTGCTGTAGTCTAAGACCGGTTAAAATAATATTTTTTACACATGAACACAGCGCAACATACTCGTACAAGAGCCTATCTGATTTATGCCTAGGCCTTTATTAAAATTATAAGAACTCTTCTAAAAAAATTTACGAGACAGAAGGATATTTCAATAAATTTTCTTTTGGTATTCATTTTGATTAACATTGCCATGTGGAACGAATCCATGTGCATCATAACCAATGTGTAAATTTGATAATATGTGATTTTCCTTAAAGAAATTTCGATGGGACAAAGATAATAACATGAAACTCGCTCGCAACTGTTAAGTAAATAAAAACCAAAAAATTAGCACACTTACATGCCTATTCTCACTGTTACCGGTAAAGTAAATTTTGTAACTTTTTTAACACCTGATATTAAATTGTTTGGAATATTTTTGGCAGTACTAATTTTTTGTCCATGTTACCAGTTGTTAAAGTAAAAAAAAGAATATATATGTATATATTTGCATATCACATTTTTTACAAATTTTCCCGGCTTTTACACTGACAATCAAATTGGAAATATAGTGCAGTGATCGCGAAACAGAAGCTTGGCAGTTAGACAACTGCTATCAACGCATACATGACACGAGCCGTGGGAAAAGAATTACATAGTTAAGAGAAATCTCAAATAAAACGGAAAGGATGTCTTCGTATAAAAAAATTTTAATACAAAAATATATATGAAGCTGAACAACTACTCTCAGAAATGGTAAATTTTAATACCAAAGTAAATTATATTTCCCCACCAGAATAGGCTGTTAGTAGCTATTGATCAGTACAAGATATAATATTCAAACTAGACATAATATCTCTGATGTTGGCTCAGCGATAGAGACCACGTCTGCTAATTCAGAATCCGCTAGGTCGATAGAAAAAAGCTTTCGTTTTTGTCATTTTTCATTGTTGTATAACAAAATACTCAATTCGTTGAAAGCAAAAAGCCAATTTATTAAATATATTATAACAAAAATAAATAAAATTTCATTTAAAATTCAATTAATTTTATTAAAGTTCAATTATTAATCAAAAATAATATTTTCTCACAAAGTTGGCAAAGTAAAAAATTACATTTTGTTTACCTTTCGAATATTTATTGTTTCTGGAACGAGCACACGTTTGTCAAATTGTTAGGCTATGCGCTGAAGGATTTCTCCACATAACTTTTATTCAAAAGAAAGTTATTATTGTTGTCTATGATTAAACAGTTCAGATTCGGAAAAGTTTTGGCTATTGAAAACGATTACTGAACCTGAAATGAACAATTATGTTATTTTTCTCATGTTAAGCAAAATATAAAACTGCAATAGTATGCATACATATGTATGTATGTATTGGTTTGTCCCAAAAGAATTTCTCAAAAGAAAATAAATACATTTTCTTAAATTGTATAATGAACTCGAATTAATATTGCAATTTCCATTCTGTTGGGGCACTTCGCCATCGTTCCGGCAATATCATTATTCCACGCTCATAAGACTTTTGGCCTTTATCTCCAAAAAACTGAACCAAGTTCGATTTTATACCCTCGTCATTTTCGAAAGTTTTATAATTTTCGTTGATGCATGATGTCGTCAGCATCACTTCACTTGGCCGACCATGCCATATTTTTGAGTTAAAAACTCCCGAACGGAATTTGACAAACCAACCTCGACACTGTGTTTCTTTTAAAGCATTATCACCATACAAATTATGCAACTTTTTAGCAGCCTGGGATGAGAAGCTCCCATTTTGATGACGACCCCCGTAAATGTTTTAAAGATTACGATTTTAGGGAATACACCTGGAATGTCCGGTCCCTTAATTGGGAAAGTGCCACTGTCCAGCTGGTTGCTGTCCTCATAAAGTTAAGGGCAGGCACTACAGCCGTCCAAAAAATACGATGGAAGGGTCAAGAACGGAAGAAGGTGGTAGCTTGTGAAACTTACTGCATCGGCTATAAAAAAGAACGCAAATTTTGGGGTCGGATTCGTGGTGAGAGGAGACTCTGTCGCCGAGTACTGGCATTCATTCTGGTGAACGAACGTCTCGCAACCATCCACATCAAAAAAAAATTCTTCAACACCGCGCTAATTCGCCGCCACGCCACGACGAAACAAAATGAAGACTTCGCCAAAGATGCCTTTTACGGGAGCCCAGAGTACACTTATGTGTGAAGACTCGGCCACGACGTTAAAACTGTGCTAGGCGACTTTAACGCCAGGGTGGGCAAAGGAGGCATTTTTGGTACAACAGTCGGAAAATTCAGTCTCCACTACGAAATATCCCCAAATGGGCTGAAACTGATCGACTTCGCCGGGGCCCGAAATATGGTTGTCTGTAGCAATAGATCCTAGCACAAGTAAATTCACCAAGCTACTTGGCTGTCTTCAGATCGAAAAACTTTCAACCAGATTGATCATGTTGTGGTGGACGGAAGACATGATTTCTGTGTTTCAGATGGGCGTACGTTTCGAGTTCCTAACATCGATTCCAATCACTATCTTGTCACAGCGAAGATACACACGCGGCTTTGTGTATTGAAGAAGGCCGGTGAACAAATACAAGGAAGGTTCGAAGTGGAAAAGTTGCAATCACAACAGACTGCCGAGCGGTTTTCTATTTGACTTGCATACCTGCTCTCTGAGAGAGAATTTACGAGACTTTGTACCTCTCAACCTTGCGATCGGCCACAACACAACTGCACAGTGGGTTCTGCTTTCTCCAGACTTGATAAAAATGCGAAAGCGAAATATCTCCTGTCATCAAACAAAAAGTCATCGCACTCGGGACTCGGCTCTCACGTCATTGTTGACAGCCATACCTTCGAGGTCGTTGATAATTTTGTAGGAATTTTAGGAACCACCATCAACACTAATAATAATGTCAGCCTGGAAATCCAACGCAAAATCACTCTTGACAAGAGGGGCTCTCTCGGTGAACGAAAACCAAAGTCGCTCATCATACCAGTCCTACTATATGGCGCAGAAGCGTGAACAATGTCAACTTCTGATGAGTCAGCTCTAGGAGTTTTCAAGAGAAAAATAAGAGGGAGACCTCAAATCCGTTGGAAGGGTCGGGTGGGGAGTGAACTGGCCTCACTTGGTATTACAAAATGGCGCCAAATAGCGAAAAGGAGAGAGGAATGGCGCGCTAATATTGTTTCGGCTATAATCTCGCAAATATTGCCAACGTCAATAAAGAAGAAGAAGAAGGAAAAAGTAACAGCTTATAGCTGTCAATGGAAAAAAATTAGTTATATTGTCGCAAACTGTTCAAAAAAATTTGTCAACGCCGTTTGTATGAAAAATCGCAGGCTTCTTTTGGGATAACCCAATACATTCAATGTAAGCACATTGGTATGTACACATGTACTTACACGTACATACTCGTATTTACATATATGCACATGTTGTTAACTTACCTTATTTCTTGGTTTTTCGCTGTTTGAACCCATCTACAGGACCGGAAAACATTCATTCAACCTGTAATAAATAATTATAGAATATTTTAGAAATATTGCAAAAAATACCATCTTACCTCTTGGCGAATGAAAATTGAAATGCGTAAATAAACAAATTTGATATATATGTGTTACTCCTCTTTCTATAGAAATTGTCATATATGATGGAAATCGTACGATATTCGCAGTGAAATTATTACCCTCTTACATAGAACCTCTCTGTCTGCATGAAAAAGATGGCAACCTGTCCAGATACCTAAAGACAAATAAAAGATGATGAAATGTCAATAGCTCTTTTCAGTATACTTACCGAACTAAAAATTAATCATCAATAATAAATCTTTTAAATGCATATGAAAAAATAAATGAAAAGTATTTTTTTTTTCCTGACATAATCAAATATCAGGACATTAAAACTTAAAATTATATTAATTCCCGTAGCTACAACTTTATTATCATAAATATTCAATTTTTCAAAATGAAAAATAACGTTACAAAAAATGCAAAACTTTTCAATGTAAACAAAAAATATAGAAAATTAAAACGTACTTCTAAAAAACATAAAGGCTTTGGATTACATATTTTCCACAATATAATGGAAATAAAATTATTTTCAGTCAGCTTAGCATATTTTAAAATAAATATAGATATCAAAAATTTTTAAAGTGTCAATATCTTGAAGTTAAAATAAAAATGAGATAAACAAGCCTATTCTCACTCTTCCAGGTAAAGTAAATTTTGTTACTTTTTTTAAAACTCGAAATTGAATTTGGTATTCTGGCGAACTGGTTACTATATTTGAAAAAAATTTGGCAGCACTGCTCTTTTCGTCCATGTCAAACTACATTTGCAAATTGATAAAGTAAAAAAGAAAATATTCACATCGAAATGGAAGACAGTGCACGATAAAATTAAAAAGTTTTATTAATTTTTTTATTAAATCATAAATATTTGACCTTAATTATGAAAAATATGCCTGGACAACAAAAAAAGCTGAATGAAAACGCTATTTTCCAATTTAAAAGTGTAATTTTTCTCTCGCAACTTTTTCGCATACGCCTTTTTACACTTTTTTCTTCTCATTCAAAGAATTCCAGGCCTAAAATATTCCTATCCATTTTGGTTTTTATTTTTTCTCAAACTTACAACACAAAATCAAACAGCATATATTTTTGTTACCTCCTATTTACAGGGTAACAGTGAGCTCAGAATACGAAATGGTAACAAAATTTAGTGAAAGGTAAATTTTAATACCCAGGTAAATTTTGTTACCTCGACAGAATAGGCCTGAAAATGTCATAAAATGTCTGACAATTTTATATTGAGTGAAACTACCTTCCTTTTTTGTGCCATGGCTACATTTATAAAAGAAAAGTACGAAGTCCAACTCATTGATATAAATAGTAGACATCCTAGTTGTATAACTGACTGATACTAATAAATAAAAAATACTAACTAATTTTTACTTATTCTTAAGACTACATTTTTTTTTGGAAAAAATAGTTTTAAGTTTCGTTTTCTATCAAAGTATTAATAAACTAATATTATTCTATTAACTAACTAATATTGGGTAGCCGAGTGGTTCGCATTGCGTACTGTCATTCGGAGGGTTCAAGTCCTGATACGACCAATATCCAATACCTCGACAGGTATGTCAACCCCTCTGAGTGTATTTCTGGCAAAAAAAAAGGTTCCTCATAAAAAGCCATCAGCCGTTCGGAGGCGGTTTTGTATAAACTGTAGGTCGGTTCCGGCTTCGGTACAAAGTGTCAATTACAAATCTAATGTAGTCGCAATTTGTGGTTTTTTCAATAAATGAAGGACCTACAGTTTACACTAACAGGCCTATTCTGTCGAGGTAACCAAATTTACTTTGATATTAAAATATACCATTCAGTAAATTTTGTTACTATTTCGTATTCTGAGTTTACTGTCATCCTGTAAATTTTGTTACCAGCGAAATAGGAGGCAACAAACAATTTACTAATTACTAAATTTACTGTTTGATTTTGTGTTGTTAGTTTGACAAAAAATAAAAACTAAAATGGGTAGGCATTTTTTGGCTTGGAATTCATTGAAGGGGAAGTAAAAAGTGTAAAAAGACGTATGCTAAAAAGTTGCGAAAAAAAAATTACCCTTTTAAATTGGAAAATATCGTTTTCATTCAGCTTTTTTTTGCGTTTGGGCATATTTTCCATAATTAGGTTCAAATATTTATGATTTAAAAACAAATTATAAAACTTTTTAATTTTTTTGTGCACCGTCTTCCATTTCGATGTGAATATTGTTCTTTTTTACTTTACCAACTTGCAAATGTAATTTGACATGGACGAAAAAAGCAGTGCTGCCAAAGTCTTTTCAAACATTGTAACCAGTTCTCCACAATAGCAAATTCAATTTCGTCTGTTAAAAACACAAGTAACAAAATTTACTTTACCGGTAACAGTAACGATAGCCTATTAGCCGCTATCGAACGGCTGATTGCTTTTTTATGAGGAGCTTTATTTTATGTAAGAAATACACTCGGAGGGGTTGATATTCCCTGCCGAGGGGCGACCCCAATTAGAAAATTTAGCTTAATTTTTTATTTCGATAGCAGTACGCAATAAAATATCACAAATCTTATCCTTATAATTCAATGTGCAAGTGATGCTCTAACACTTTTATACCGATTTATTTAATGACCCAAGAACACTTGTCATGATTGGATACTCCTCTGTAATGCATTCATTTCCTTTTACATTGCATCGGCTGTTAGATATGTATAGGACTTGAGGATATTGTGGAACGTGTTATGTTATGAGTGCTTAATTTTATGTCTTACTTCATGTTTTTCGCAAAAACCAAATTGACTTGTAGAAATTATTTACGAGTATATATATATATATATATACATAGATATATATATATATATATATATATATATATATATATATATATATATATATATATTTCATAAAAACATTTATGAGAGCTGCACTATTATACAAAGTTTTGAAAGGTAAGTTAACAGGCTAATTGGTCTAAATAATGGCGGCAGAGTTCAGTCTTTAACTGAATTAGCTATCAAAATTTCTGAGACTTTTTCCATGTTTGTAGATAATATCATACCATTGAGAGCTTTGAAAAAAAAAACAAGAGCAATGCTTAGCTGTTCTAATATCTTTAAATTCGCATACAAAACAGATACATATGGCAAAATCTGTTTCGGGGGTTTGTTATAAGAGATGTTAACCATCATTTACTTTTGACTTCATCCAATACGGAGATTTATATGAACCTTCATTTTTTGGCGAAGTGTCAATGTTCAGATTCCAAAAAATCCAGGTTGTCCATTTTTCGTCGGCCCTTTTCCACTTAATGGCTACGTCAATAAGCAAAACTGTCACATTTGGAGCTCGAAAAATCTAAGATTTATTGTTGGAAGGCCTCTATTATCTGTAACTGTTCGGTGCGGTTTATGGTCCGGCGGTGTCACAGTTACGGTGAATGGATTACGCTATCGAGAGATGATTAATGATTTTTTTAAGCGTTACTTTAGGAAGTTCTTGCCATTTGCTTTGATTTCTGTCCACAACGTAAATTATTTAATAAATTTGGTTATTTTTTTCTGAACTTTTCTAAATAAGTATTTAATTGGTATTTGACAAAGGTTGTTAATATATAAAACCAAAAAGCCACAAGAGCGTAAGGCTGGGAATGTTTGTCTGTAAGTCGCTTTAACCGATTTTGTTCAAATTTTCAGCATGGCTGCAATGAAGCCCTGATAGAAGTCCTGTTTTTTTTCAGAAAATGAAACTGGAGCAGATCTACCTCAAGAAATCTTTATTGTTGTTCGCTTTACATGAAATTTGCTTTTTACATAAATTTAGATACGTACTAGTATTTCTTCCAAGAAGGGGATCTGGGACCGATCTACTTCTTACTTTTCGATTTACTTGAAATTTGGTGCATAGGTTGCTTTTAGCCAAAATTAACACATGAAACACTATTTCTTCCGTGAAAGGTACCAGATACCGATCTCTAAATTTTTGTACGAAGGTATCATTTTGTCTAGACAAGCGAATAAAGGAAATGGACCAAGGACAAGTACCATTTGCTTGAAATTTATTATGACGGCATATTTTGTGTAGAGTAATATCTATATGTATACAGCATTTTTTGCAATAAGAAGACACAGATCCACAGTTCGATAAAATTTGGTATGATTTGAATAAATATATAAAAATATATATAACATAATATATATATATAAATTATCTGGATATACGTTTGTCATTACTAAAATACTTAGATTTTAGTTTTTGTTAAATTTATTAATTACAATTTGAGTTCTTTATTCTTCTTCAATATTGGAAGCATATAGATTTTAGTTGACCTTTAATCCAGTTTAGTTCATTTTATTCAATACTCGTATCTTCACATATTGATGTAATGTCCTGTTCATACGATCTATGGTGGGTGCCATTCTTCTATATATTTTATGTACTTCACCTTGCCCCTTTTTCTCCATCTTTATAACGCCCGTGGTTTATTATGTATCGTAAACTTAATGAGCTGGGTCCGTTTAATAGCTACCAAATCATTCAACTTTTAAGTTGTTGTTTTTTCCGCTTTGCGTTAAAATTTCTTTTTTCTTGTTTCTTCTTGAATCTTTACAATGCTTTGTTTCGATTCTTTACGCGTATCGCTTAGCAAACGGCTTGAGGTCTACCCAATTCCAAATTAGGTAGCCATACCTGTAGCGGATACGTTCACCTTCAACTTGATTGCCTGTTACGGTGCATCTATAGAACTGCACTATGATCAAGGAAAGACTTTCGAATCGTCGAAGGAAGATCGTGGACAAATATCAGGATGATTGCGATATCCACATACCTCTGATGGGTTATCGGCGCGCATTACATGAAACAATGGGTAGAACACCTGCAAAAGTAATATTTGATAGTGATCATCTGTTACCTGCAGGAAGAGCTAAGAGAGATACATTTCCTTGTGAAACAGGAAACTTGAAATATGAGTCCCAAGATGAAGGTCAGGTATGATAAGGTGATGAACCCCAAGAGCTTCCGAGATGGAGAATTAGTGTTTTTATACAATCCACAACGGAAGAAACTTTTATTCCCAAACCTTCAATGTAATTGGGAAGGTCCTTATAAGGTAATCAAACCAATATCTTACGGAGATTATACATATGTATATGATAATTATCAGTTTTAAGAAACTTTTTTCAAAGTAAATTATTTTAAAGGGCAT